CATTAAGCAACAGTGGCAGTTGGCTGGCGAGATGGGGCGACATCACCTTTCATGTGGCCGCTTGATAAGATGTTGCTTTGAAACATGCTTTGGACTAGATAGTCATCTTCATAGAGCGGAGACTTCAGCTGGGCATGCTGCTCGTGTGGGCAGTGGCGTCAGATGCAACCATTCATTAACTAATTTCATTATTTTCAAGGTCTTTTCACTGATGTTTTAGCTGTATCTTCATTGATGCTGTTGCATTAGTGCCAGGCATATCATAATCTGGAGGGTCTTTGGTGCTGTAGTGGGATGGTGTGCGGTGACACATGCTATCGTTATGTTTGCTGGTGTTTGATATAGGTCACATCGGCTGTGTGTACAAAGTAACCGGAAGAGGGATTGTAGAACTTTGTTTGTTGCATGAGAGTTTAGTTTTTAAAAAGTTGTTGATATGATTTAACCGGGAAGTTGATGATTAATTTATTGTTGAGTTGACAGGACTGAATCTATCAGAGATAAAATATTGTTTTGATGTTCTTTAGGAGTGTGGCTATCACATTCTGTGAAGGCAACAATTCTTTTCTTTTATACAGTAAACTATGATTATAACAAGCTCAAAGGGCCCACTTATTTTAGTTCGTTATAAGTGTAGTTCATTATAAGCAAATGTACAGCATAAATGTAGCAAAGAGCTGGGACAAAAAAATGAGTTCGTTATAAGCGTGTTCGTTATGAACATAGTTTACTGTATACTGATTTGACCAACTAGAACAAGAAAACAGACAATAGGATGAAAATAAAATTTAGTTTTTATTCATACTATTCAATCTATGATGGATTAGACAAAATACAAAGATACCGCTACATTAATCTTACAATCGGTAATTGTTAATTATTTAAATAATAAGTGATAAATTGGATTGTATATTTATTATCTGATCACTACAATCTCCATATATATAATGAGGACAGTATATATCATGTTGTACTTCAGAAATTTTATTTATTTTGTCCCTGTAAACTTACAGACTGTCCTATGAGTAACATGTTCAGTGGCGGGGCATTCAGGATTTTACAGGCTGAATGAGCTTGTACATCATGAGACTGTAGGGGTGTACATGAACTTTGAGTTTGTAAAATACTGCACACCCACCACTTGACACATGTTATGAATTTATCATCATGAATTCACAGGTTACGAAGAATTATTTCGATTAACTATGTTCAGCCTAAAATTACACTATCACACTTGTCCTCCCCGAATTTACGATTTTGTCAGTTGTTTTTTCATGAATTATTTACATACATAAAATATCACAGAAAGCAAATTGTTCATGCACTGATGACCTGAAGCATTCTATGGCGAGACTATGCATGCCGACCAATGAGAGCCATACTTTGAATTCACATAGTGTTAAAATACCCATTACTCAGTGATACAAGATCTCTGATTGGTTGCAATGTTAAAATGCACTAAATTCGTTATACTGACTTATCTTTTGCGGATGCAGACAGGGAACCTCTTGCATGTACACTGATATTACTTCAGAACTCGAAACAACACATTGTCTTCCTGAAAAACATTGTGTCATAGGATGAAAGTGGAGTCTAGGTCTATTGAAACTGTTGAAGCGAAAACCTGCATTATATTTCTGTTAACATTACTCTTTTTGACATGAACATATATATATCTCGCCAAAAGTATGGCACTACCAAGATTTTTTGATAGTCAGAAATGAGTAAGGAAAAGCTGGAAAGCAAAAGCAATCAAAAGTGTTACTTAATGTTAAATAAGATGTTAATTTTATGAATAATAGAAAAAATGAGCATGTCCAAAGAAAGATAGAAACTTTACAGTGAATGTTATTGGGGATAAATAGAGGGAGTGCAAGTATGATAACTATCAGGAATGAGATGGACAGATCAACAAGTACATGTCTTAGTAACGTTGTACCTATGTCACAGTTAAATGATCAATGGTGTAAGTCAATATTTGGTGTAGGCACACTGTATACAGATCACGCCTGATCCTCAGCTGAGGGACGTGTTGCCAATCCTGATGCAATGCCTGGGTCAATTCTGTACGGAAGGGTCTCTGGCTCTAACCCAACGTCCCATAGATGTTCAGTTAGATTCAGGTCTGGGCTTTGAGTAGGCCAAGGAAAGAGTCTCAATGGCATTGTTCTGGAGATGGTCATGCAGTCACAGCTAAAGTACTCGTGCTCCTTGGGGTCGGGCATTGTCTCCATGAAGACAGGACGTGTGGCAAGTGCATGGTTATCAAAATGAGGCACAATAAAACCGTTAAAAACAATATGAAATTTGGTATCTTTGTCCATTTGATGTCACCTGAACTGTGACTGAATCAAGTTTACAATGAAACAAGCAACAACCCCATACCATCACTGAGCTGCCACCACATGCCTGGCTGTTTCCTGGATGTTACACTGATGATAAGATGTTCTTAAAGATGAAATTCTCAAAGAAGACAACTTAGGTGTGCATACGGCTTGCATAAATGCACCACAAGGTTGGGCAGTTAAGGTGGCTACCATTCTACAGGCAGATGATGTTTCAACACACAGTGTATAATTTGAAAATCTCTACATTGAAAATGATCGGGCAATTACACTTCAAATTGAGTGGTGCAATACTTTTGATAAGGTGTATATTTTTTTACCCCCCTAATTACTTCACATTTTCAGTTAGGATTGGCATCTCTGGTTTATACAAGATGGTGACAGACCAATCAGATAGCTAGGTTTTTTATGTATAATGGTAAACAATTTTGCCAGAAAGAAGAAAAATACTGAGCTGCACACTTTTGTTGTCAAAGTGAATTAGTTATCAAAATATCTGTGAGCCATAATAGCAAAAAGGTAAGCCGTTCCCTGTTGTACTGCTATTGTAATAATATTGTGAAAGTGTGATGGGAACATTACCTTGATACAATTTGAAGGAGCATGGGTATCCCAGTCTCTCAAGTCGCCCTGCAGAGTTTCATCCCTTAGGCATGCCAGAAGCCTATGATCATGCTTCAAATCCTGGTTCTCCCCGTTTCTGGGTATGTCTGTACCATGGGTTCTGCCTTGTGGTTCCCCCAGAGTGGTAAACATCTCAGACCTACAACACTGGCTCTTCTCTCACATCAAGTGATCTATATACCGTACTTCCTCTATTAGATGGCCATCTATTAATTTTGTGTAAGCTTTTAAAAGTTAATTTGATAGGGTGCACTAATTTCATCAAGTGATGGAAATGGCCCCTATTAGTCACCCGGCGTCTAATAGAGGCTCGGCTTCTATTTTTTTGATAGAGCATATGACAGAGTGTCAATCAGAGGCTGGCATGTATTGGAGGAATAGAGGAAATATGGTAATTGAAATACATGTACTCCCCAAAGTGGGACAGCCTCTGTGGTCTAGTGGTAGAGTGTCCGCCAGGAGAGCAAAAGGTCCTGGGGTTTGATCCCCGAGCGTGTCATACCAAAAGACATTAAAAGATGGTACTTGTTGTTCCTCTGCCTGGCGCTCAGCATTAAGAGGCTAAAACAAGGACTGGTCGGCTCGGAGTCACTATTCTGTGCCTGAGTGGGGTATTCATGTTAAACTGCGGCATTGTATCTCAGTGGGCTAGCACTATAAATTGGCATCAGTCCAGACTAGTACAAGCAGCCACACAAACACACACATGTACATGCACATCGCTATATAAGTGCAATAATCTTGGACACAACATTGAACCCCATTTCACCTCACTTCACTACAGTGTGGATGTCCTTTTGTGATCATAGTTGGTCTGGTTTTGAAATTGCTTTTCTTTGTTTCACTTGCCTGACAATTCTTTTAAGAAACCATTGATTCAATATATCGAGACTATTTCACTCATTGAGTGAAGTCTGAAAACCATATTCTCATGTGTTGCAAAGCAAGAAAATATGCCTCATATTCCTCAAAGTATTTGAGGAGCTGGCACAGGAGTTGTTGGACTGGCAAACCAAGTTTGTGAAATCGTTACAAATGACAAAGTGTCTCTCGTTACACTAGACTGGGCGAGTGAGTATTGCTATATTCTGGGCAAATTATGGCAGGGTAACACCAGAAATGTGCTTCACACATTGTACTCATGTCGGGAATTGAACCCGAGTCTTCGGCATGACGAGTGAACGCTTAAACCACTAGACTTCCCCACAGCCTTCATGAACATTATTTCAGAATGTTTTATTGGCCGTCGGGTAGCCTAGTGGTTAAAGCGTTCACTCATCACGCTGAAGACACGGGTTCGATTCCCGACATGGGTACAATGTGTGAAGCCCATATTGGTGTCCAGTGATATTGCTGGAATATGAAACCATATTCACTAACTCACCGAAAAAGGCCTTTATCAAACTGTGTCCTTTTAGGGTTGCAAGTGAAAAAATGGGTCTATCCTATTACAGGAAACACATACATTATTCCGTTGGGCCTTACTTGTAACAGCAAGGATAGTGTACAAGAGGATGTGACTGGACCAGTGATAATTCACAAGCCTTGAGCAAATGGGATAGTGGTATAGGTATTGCACTGTGTTACCTTACAACAGTGATATACCGATATTTGGAAGTAGTGGTTCTCATGTTTGCTGGCGTGTCTGTTGCCTCAGGTTACACAGTTCACTGAGAATACAATCTCATTACACAGAATACATGTAACACAAGTGTACACAAGCTCTCTGCAGTGCTGATCAGATCAAATCTGAACCCTCATATGTGAGGCTATACAGCTTTTGGGAAAGGAGGAGTGCATTTTGTGGTCACAAGTTAACATACAGGTGCTAGATGAATACAACTAATCCACAAAAGTATTTGCATTTAGTAGTCATGTTATTTCTGTTGAAAATGATTTTTTAGTATACACATTGTAACCCCTGTTTTCTGTTCACACAAAAGTTGTAACAACACGGTGATGACTTCGAGCTCCAAGTACTGTGAACAATGTCTCATCAGGCTTTTTTGCAAAAATAGTTTTCTTTTTCAGAAATCACCATCATGTGGAAGTCAATCTTCAGAGAAAACGTTGGTTGGGAACAAAGGGGAGACAACTGGCAGAAACAGTTTGCAGGCAGCGAAAGGTTCCTTGTTTATTTCTAATTCCTACATACTGCAAATAGAATTTAGGGTGCACTTTGTGTATTAACTATATGAGCATAAAACTATTAGTGTGGTCAGTATGCAAAATAATCTCAAAAAAAATTTTTTTATGTATATTATCTTATATATTTTGGAAAAGAGTGAAGATGTTCTCTGACTCTTGAAGATCCGTGTAATAATAGGTTTTCAGCAACCCATGTTTGCAGTATGCTTGTTGCAAGAGGCGACAAACAGGATCAGGTGATCAGGTTCGTTGAATTGGTTGATGCATGTCATCGTGGATTGATGTTCACAATGTCAATCACTGGATGGTCCATACTTGATTATATACAGACCAACGTCTTATAGTTGGAATATTGCTGAGTATGGCAATAATAAAAACAAAAAAAACATGATGTTCTCTGAAACTGTAGAAATCTATACTTGCCAAAGTATTGTAGATATGCTTGGGTGTGTTCAGATATTTATTTTCTGGGGCTACATGAGAACAAGCAGACTAGGTAACTTAGGATGTCATCTGTGGGGTGACTCCACACCCTGCTACACTGACAATGTAAGGATGTCATCTGTGGGATGACTCCACACCCTGCTACACTGACAAGGTAAGGATGTCATCTGTGGGATGACTCCACACCCTGCTACACTGACAAGGTAAGGATGTCATCTGTGGGATGACTCCACACCCTGCTACACTGACAAGGTAAGGATGTCATCTGTGGGGTGACTCCACACCCTGCTACACTGACAAGGTAAGGATGTCATCTGTGGGATGACTCCATGCCTGGCTTCACTGACAAGGTAAGGATGTCATCTGTGGGGTGACTCCACACCCTGCTACACTGACAAGGTAAGGATGTCATCTGTGGGGTGACTCCACACCCTGCTACACTGACAAGGTAAGGATGTCATCTGTGGGATGACTCCATGCCTGGCTTCACTGACAAGGTAAGGATGTCATCTGTGGGGTGACTCCACACCCTGCTACACTGACAAGGTAAGGATGGCATCTGTGGGATGACTCCATGCCTGGCTTCACTGACAATGTAAGGATGTCATCTGTGGGGTGACTCCACACCCTGCTACACTGACAAGGTAAGGATGGCATCTGTGGGATGACTCCACACATTGCTACACTGACAAGGTAAGGATGTCATCTGTGGGGTGACTCCACACCCTGCTAGACTGACAAGGTAAGGATGGCATCTGTGGGGTGACTCCATGCGCAGCTAGACTGACAAGGTAAGGATGGCATCTGTGGGATGACTCCACACATTGCTACACTGACAAGGTAAGGATGTCATCTGTGGGGTGACTCCACACCCTGCTAGACTGACAAGGTAAGGATGTCATCTGTTGGATGACTCCATGCCTGGCTTCACTGACAATGTAAGGATGTCATCTATGGGGTGACTCCACACCCTGCTACACTGACAAGGTAAGGATGTCATCTGTGGGGTGACTCCATGCCTGGCTTCACTGACAAGGTAAGGATGTCATCTGTGGGGTGACTCCACACCCTGCTACACTGACAAGGTAAGGATGTCATCTGTGGGGTGACTCCACACCCTGCTACACTGACAAGGTAAGGATGGCATCTGTGGGATGACTCCATGCCTGGCTTCACTGACAAGGTAAGGATGTCATCTGTGGGATGACTCCACACCCTGCTACACTGACAAGGTAAGGATGTCATCTGTTGGATGACTCCATGCCTGGCTTCACTGACAAGGTAAGGATGTCATCTGTGGGATGACTCCACACCCTGCTACACTGACAAGGTAAGGATGTCATCTGTTGGATGACTCCACACCCTGCTACACTGACAATGTAAGGATGACATCCTTACCTTGTCAGTGTAGCAATGTGTGGAGTCATCCCACAGATGCCATCCTTACCTTGTCAGTGTAGCAGGGTGTGGAGTCACCCCACAGATGACATCCTTACATTGTCAGTGAAGCCAGGCATGGAGTCATCCCACAGATGACATCCTTACCTTGTCAGTGTAGTAGGACATGGAGTCACCCCACAGATGACATCCTTACCTTGTCAGTGTAGCAGGGTGTGGAGTCACCCCACAGATGACATCCTTACCTTGTCAGTCTAGCTGCGCATGGAGTCATCCCACAGATGCCATCCTTACCTTGTCAGTGAAGCCAGGCATGGAGTCATCCAACAGATGACATCCTTACCTTGTCAGTGTAGCAGGGTGTGGAGTCATCCCACAGATGACATCCTTACCTTGTCAGTGAAGCCAGGCATGGAGTCATCCAACAGATGACATCCTTACCTTGTCAGTGTAGCAGGGTGTGGAGTCATCCCACAGATGCCATCCTTACCTTGTCAGTGAAGCCAGGCATGGAGTCATCCAACAGATGACATCCTTACATTGTCAGTGTAGCAGGGTGTGGAGTCATCCAACAGATGACATCCTTACCTTGTCAGTGTAGCAGGGTGTGGAGTCACCCCACAGATGACATCCTTACCTTGTCAGTGAAGCCAGGCATGGAGTCACCCCACAGATGACATCCTTACCTTGTCAGTGTAGCAGGGTGTGGAGTCACCCCACAGATGACATCCTTACATTGTCAGTGAAGCCAGGCATGGAGTCATCCAACAGATGACATCCTTACCTTGTCAGTCTAGCAGGGTGTGGAGTCACCCCACAGATGACATCCTTACCTTGTCAGTGTAGCAATGTGTGGAGTCATCCCACAGATGCCATCCTTACCTTGTCAGTCTAGCTGCGCATGGAGTCACCCCACAGATGCCATCCTTACCTTGTCAGTCTAGCAGGGTGTGGAGTCACCCCACAGATGACATCCTTACCTTGTCAGTGTAGCAATGTGTGGAGTCATCCCACAGATGCCATCCTTACCTTGTCAGTGTAGCAGGGTGTGGAGTCACCCCACAGATGACATCCTTACATTGTCAGTGAAGCCAGGCATGGAGTCATCCCACAGATGACATCCTTACCTTGTCAGTGTAGCAGGGTGTGGAGTCACCCCACAGATGACATCCTTACCTTGTCAGTGTAGCAGGGTGTGGAGTCACCCCACAGATGACATCCTTACCTTGTCAGTGAAGCCAGGCATGGAGTCATCCCACAGATGACATCCTTACCTTGTCAGTGTAGCAGGGTGTGGAGTCACCCCACAGATGACATCCTTACCTTGTCAGTGTAGCAGGGTGTGGAGTCACCCCACAGATGACATCCTTACATTGTCAGTGAAGCCAGGCATGGAGTCATCCCACAGATGACATCCTTACCTTGTCAGTGTAGCAGGGTGTGGAGTCACCCCACAGATGACATCCTTACCTTGTCAGTGTAGCAGGGTGTGGTGTCATCCCACAGATGACATCCTTACCTTGTCAGTGTAGCAGGGTGTGGAGTCACCCCACAGATGACATCCTTACCTTGTCAGTGAAGCCAGGCATGGAGTCATCCCACAGATGACATCCTTACCTTGTCAGTGTAGCAGGGTGTGGAGTCACCCCACAGATGACATCCTTACCTTGTCAGTCTAGCAGGGTGTGGAGTCACCCCACAGATGCCATCCTTACCTTGTCAGTGTAGCAGGGTGTGGAGTCACCCCACAGATGACATCCTTACATTGTCAGTGAAGCCAGGCATGGAGTCATCCCACAGATGACATCCTTACCTTGTCAGTGTAGCAGGGTGTGGAGTCACCCCACAGATGACATCCTTACCTTGTCAGTGTAGCAGGGTGTGGAGTCACCCCACAGATGACATCCTTACCTTGTCAGTGAAGCCAGGCATGGAGTCATCCCACAGATGACATCCTTACCTTGTCAGTGTAGCAGGGTGTGGAGTCACCCCACAGATGACATCCTTACCTTGTCAGTGTAGCAGGGTGTGGAGTCACCCCACAGATGACATCCTTACCTTGTCAGTGTAGCAGGGTGTGGAGTCACCCCACAGATGACATCCTTACCTTGTCAGTGTAGCAGGGTGTGGAGTCACCCCACAGATGACATCCTTACCTTGTCAGTGTAGCAGGGTGTGGTGTCATCCCACAGATGACATCCTTACCTTGTCAGTGAAGCCAGGCATGGAGTCATCCCACAGATGACATCCTTACCTTGTCAGTCTAGCTGCGCATGGAGTCATCCCACAGATGCCATCCTTACCTTGTCAGTCTAGCTGCGCATGGAGTCACCCCACAGATGACATCCTTACCTTGTCAGTCTAGCTGCGCATGGAGTCATCCCACAGATGACATCCTTACCTTGTCAGTGTAGCAGGGTGTGGAGTCATCCCACAGATGACATCCTTACATTGTCAGTGAAGCCAGGCATGGAGTCATCCCACAGATGACATCCTTACCTTGTCAGTGTAGCAGGGTGTGGAGTCATCCCACAGATGACATCCTTACCTTGTCAGTGTAGCAGGGTGTGGAGTCATCCCACAGATGACATCCTTACCTTGTCAGTGTAGCAGGGTGTGGAGTCACCCCACAGATGACATCCTTACCTTGTCAGTGTAGCTGCGCATGGAGTCACCCCACAGATGACATCCTTACCTTGTCAGTCTAGCTGCGCATGGAGTCATCCCACAGATGACATCCTTACCTTGTCAGTGTAGCAGGGTGTGGAGTCATCCCACAGATGACATCCTTACATTGTCAGTGAAGCCAGGCATGGAGTCATCCCACAGATGACATCCTTACCTTGTCAGTGTAGCAGGGTGTGGAGTCACCCCACAGATGACATCCTTACATTGTCAGTGAAGCCAGGCATGGAGTCATCCAACAGATGACATCCTTACCTTGTCAGTCTAGCAGGGTGTGGAGTCACCCCACAGATGACATCCTTACCTTGTCAGTGTAGCAATGTGTGGAGTCATCCCACAGATGCCATCCTTACCTTGTCAGTCTAGCTGCGCATGGAGTCACCCCACAGATGCCATCCTTACCTTGTCAGTCTAGCAGGGTGTGGAGTCACCCCACAGATGACATCCTTACCTTGTCAGTGTAGCAATGTGTGGAGTCATCCCACAGATGCCATCCTTACCTTGTCAGTGTAGCAGGGTGTGGAGTCACCCCACAGATGACATCCTTACATTGTCAGTGAAGCCAGGCATGGAGTCATCCCACAGATGACATCCTTACCTTGTCAGTGTAGCAGGGTCAGTCCCACAGGTAAGGATGGCATCTGTGGGATGACTCCACACCCTGCTACACTGACAAGGTAAGGATGTCATCTGTTGGATGACTCCATGCCTGGCTTCACTGACAAGGTAAGGATGTCATCTGTGGGATGACTCCACACCCTGCTACACTGACAAGGTAAGGATGTCATCTGTTGGATGACTCCATGCCTGGCTTCACTGACAAGGTAAGGATGGCATCTGTGGGATGACTCCATGCGCAGCTAGACTGACAAGGTAAGGATGTCATCTGTGGGGTGACTCCACACCCTGCTACACTGACAAGGTAAGGATGTCATCTGTGGGGTGACTCCATGTCCTACTACACTGACAAGGTAAGGATGTCATCTGTGGGATGACTCCATGCCTGGCTTCACTGACAAGGTAAGGATGTCATCTGTGGGATGACTCCACACCCTGCTACACTGACAAGGTAAGGATGTCATCTGTGGGGTGACTCCACACCCTGCTACACTGACAAGGTAAGGATGTCATCTGTTGGATGACTCCATGCCTGGCTTCACTGACAAGGTAAGGATGGCATCTGTGGGATGACTCCATGCGCAGCTAGACTGACAAGGTAAGGATGTCATCTGTGGGGTGACTCCACACCCTGCTACACTGACAAGGTAAGGATGTCATCTGTGGGGTGACTCCATGTCCTACTACACTGACAAGGTAAGGATGTTATCTGTGGGATGACTCCATGCGCAGCTAGACTGACAAGGTAAGGATGTCATCTGTGGGATGACTCCATGCCTGGCTTCACTGACAATGTAAGGATGTCATCTGTGGGGTGACTCCACACCCTGCTACACTGACAAGGTAAGGATGTCATCTGTGGGGTGACTCCACACCCTGCTACACTGACAAGGTAAGGATGTCATCTGTGGGATGACTCCATGCGCAGCTAGACTGACAAGGTAAGGATGTTATCCAAACAGTAACTGTCCTTACTGATGAGGCCTTATTTTTAAAAAAAATGGTGGGAACATTACTTGGGTGATTGAAACGGTATTGATGAACTGTTTCAATGTGAATGCATCTGCTGAAAGAAATTTAAATTTAAATTAACATACCGGTAATTATCCAAATAACTCCTTTTAACATTTTTAATATGTCAGTTATTCTTCTCGTTGATCAAACAGAATATCAATGATCCTTTTTCAAGACTTATAAGCTTAGCTTTCATTTAAATGAATGTTTGACCTTCAAATTCAACAGAAAATGTATGGATAGTGAAAAATCATTTGCAGTCTGTCATTGAATTTTATGTAATCTCGGAATTGTAGTCATTTGAATAGAATTTTGTTTGACAGAAATTACAGTTATCAATACATCAAGCTATAATTTCTTAAAATCTCTGAATTGTTGTGTATGATAAAATTTTATTAAATTACTGTGTTTTAGATGCTGATGAAACAGGGGAAAGCAGTTCCGATGTTATCAATCACACAAAGGGAAAGAAGACGGGGCGTAAGGGAAAGAAATCGAAAGTTCCGACATATACAAAAACTACCAACTCATCTCGGGCCAAATCTGAAGAGCATCAAGCCGGCAACATATCAAGGTAAGTGACAGGGACTGATTTCTTAAATCTATTTGCTGTCTTTGGAGAATGGAGCGTTTGTGAAGCGTTCTATCTCCAAGTTGACAGACACAAGGAGGAGCTGAGAAAGGGTGACAATTTGCCGAAGAAGAAAAGTCACATTGCTGGGGAAGAAAAGTTGTGATGTATTTATTTGTTTGATGATGTTTGATGATACTGCTTTGTTCTGTGGTTGACGAAGGGATGCATGCAGGATCTTATCCAAAGGATTTACATGTGACAACTGCCATTTTACCTCTGACATGCATGTGTCAAGGTCTTGCCATCAACACTGTGTTCTTGACATCTGTCAGCATTGAATGTCACTTGTAAACTGTACGGGTCAGCCACGATGAGACTTTTTTTCAGCTAATGAATCCTGAAATAATGTACCCCTATATAATAATAATGTAAAATTGATCATGTATTTTTTCAGCAATTTATCTGTCCCTTTATTCTTGATGAAGAGTACATTTTGTTACCAAATTTGGATGATGATAAAAATATTCTTCGGTCCCTATTTTCTTGTTGAAGAATACTTGGAATGTCTTCTCACAATTTTATTGATGATGGTGATGTTGATGTTGATTGAGGATGAAGGTTGTGATGATGATACATGTATATATGTATCAGACCATTTTAAATTAACATATATCATGTACACCAGGTATGAACACACTCAGGTCTGCATCCTTGAGCTGCAAATGCACACACGAAATTGTGTGCATGAGTGCATCTGCGTCTGGTGCAGATCTTGTTGGTAGTAGCAAATATGCAAACTGTAGGTCACCATAATTTCAGTGACACATGATGATGATGATGATGATGATGATGATGATGATGATGAATTTTTATTGTCATCTGAAGTACTGTATTCATGTAAATGTCAAATGCCAGCATGTTTCTGGAGGTGTTCTCATTGATTAAGAAATCCAAGTTACGAAACTTGCAAAAGCAATGTTGAGGGAATTGAAACTTCCACTGTGGCATCTGAAAGTCAAGAGAAGAAACAGAAGACATGAAAGTATTTGAATGATACCGGGAGAAATTAATTCAGGATTTACTCAGTGAACTTGAGTGTGTTTAGTTTGTCTGCATTGACAACCAATAACAATGAATTTTGTTGACAGCTCACTACAGTGATCCCTTAATAATTGCTACAACGCTACCTTCGGGGTCCAAATAATTGATGAGCGTTATAGATGATCAGCGGTTTAACGAAGGTAGAGTCGTAGGTGGGAGATGACCAACAAAACAGTTTTCATGCTCTGCCTACCTAACACGATCTTCGTTGCACGTTTCAGAGTTTCCAAAAAGATTAGATTATTTATGATTCATAGTGCAAAAAGATTTTTTATCGAGTATTAATATGCGCTTTCAAAAAAAAAACACATCGTATCCCTTCAGGTGAATAAACAGGTATAGCAAACTTGGTCAATAAAAGTATTTGATAAGAAATTTGATATAAAACATCACTAAACATGATGATTTACCATTTAAAATGTATTTCCTGCTCTCAAAGGCATTGTTTTACATGCAGAGATTAAGATTACCGTGTGTATTTTCTAGAAAACTAAGGCGGAAATAGCAATCAGCTGTGCACACGTTTCCTCCCAATCTACCGGTGATTCAGTTAAAATGTACCCAGTGATACCACTTTAAAGAAATTTGATGCAATGGTTGGAAGAAATTGTATCTGAAATTATTATTTTATCAGGAATAATATATTCCAAAATCATGTTATTTTAGTTGCAGCTTCCACCATATATACTTAAAATTATAAGAACCATAAGCGTAGCACTTTGGTACAAATTGTATGCAGGATATTTTTTGACGTATGGAACGATTTTGACTAGTCACCATAGGGACTTCTCGCGCTACATGTATTTCGATTGCAGAAACATTATGTTGACATTTAAGAGTCAAACTGCCTCAAATGTAACTTTTAGCGAGTCATGGTACGGTATTTATGATATGTGTATCCATTCTCTGTCAACTAAAGTTCGTTTCAAGGCGTCAATAGCGGTAATCTGACCGTGATTGCTGTTAATAACGGTGAGTTGTGCGATCTACCGATCACTTTGCATACGATTTCGCCGAAATTTTTGTAAACATTATTATATTTTTGAATAAAATTTTGAATATAATTAAAATATATTGCAAACATTACTCCAGATAAACAATGATTTTTTTATTATTAATACCAGATATTATAATAATAGGATTAAATTGCGTACTTCAGTTTAGATTTGTTGACAGGTATTTCCGGTGTTACGTGATTGCGATGATCAGCTGATAATGTTTTCTGAGAGCGGGGAAAACATTGTGTCATTGGAAAACTTGAGTTTACTGAAAATGTTAGTAAATTTTTGGATCCATGCTTTACCGCGCGCTATAACCGAGTTATATTGAAGGGCACAATAACAAGGGAACAGTGTATTTAGAAATGTATTTTGATCTGAAAGATCTGTGTACATGGTCCTATTTGACTTAGTCTCAGTGGCATTACAGGTGAAAGGAAAATTCTGTAAGGCAGATGAATGTAAACAGCATTTGTTGAGTGTTCTAAACAAATGGCTTGGTTTTTCAGGCATTTACAGATAATGGTACTCTTCATTTAATTCTATGACCTCAATATAGGAACCCAAATGACTATTTACAGTGTATTGATTGACATTTCAGAGTGAAAAACTTGATTTGGCTATAGCACTTCTAGCACTGTAGCTCACCAGACCTGAGTTCCCCATGCTGCCACCCTAGTAAATCACCATACCAAGCCTGAGTTCCCCATGCTCCCACCATAGTGAAGTCATTTCTTCACCATACCAAGCCTGAGTTTCCCATGCTCCCACCATCGTGAAGTCTTTTCTTCACCATACCAAGCCTGAGTTCCCCATGCTCCCACCATAGTGAAGTCTTTCCGTCACCATACCAAGCCTGAGTTCCCCATGCTGCCACCATAGTGAAGTCTTTCCGTCACCATACCAAGCCTGAGTTCCCCATGCTCCCACCATAGTGAAGTCTTTCCGTCACCATACCAAGCCTTAGTTCCCAATGCTCCCACCATCATGAAGTCTTTTCTTCAGCATACCGAGCCTGAGTTTCCCATGCTCCCACCATAGTGAAGTCTTTTCTTCACCATACCAAGCCTGAGTTCCCCATGCTCCCACCATAGTGAAGTCTTTCCGTCACCATACCAAGCCTTAGTTCCCCATGCTGCCACCATAGTGAAGTCTTTTCTTCACCATACCAAGCCTGAGTTCCCCATGCTCCCACCATAGTGAAGTCTTTTCTTCACCATACCAAGCCTGAGTTCCCCATGCTCCCACCATAGTGAAGTCTTTTCTTCACCATACCAAGCCTGAGTTCCCCATGCTCCCACCCTAGTGAAGTCTTTTCTTCACCATACCAAGCCTGAGTTCTCCATGCTGCCACCATAGTGAAGTCTTTTCTTCACCATACCAAGCCTGAGTTCCCCATGCTCCCACCCTAGTGAAGTCTTTTCTTCACCATACCAAGCCTGAGTTCCCCATGCTCCCACCATCGTGAAGTCTTTTCTTCACCATACCAAGCCTGAGTTCCCCATGCTCCCACCATAGTGAAGTCTTTTCTTCACCATACCAAGCCTGAGTTCCCCATGCTGCCACCATCGTGAAGTCTTCTCTTCACCATACCAAGCCTGAGTTCCCCATGCTCCCACCATCGTGAAGTCTTTTCTTCACCATACCAAGCCTGAGTTCCCCATGCTCCCACCATAGTGAAGTCTTTCCATCACCATACCAAGCCTGAGTTCCCCATGCTGCCACCATCGTGAAGTCTTTCCATCACCATACCAAGCCTGAGTTCCCCATGCTGCCACCATAGTGAAGTCTTTCCATCACCATACCAAGCCTGAGTTCCCCATGCTGCCACCATAGTGAAGTCTTTTCTTCACCATACCAAGCCTGAGTTCCCCATGCTCCCACCATAGTGAAGTCTTTCCATCACCATACCAAGCCTGAGTTCCCCATGCTGCCACCATCGTGAAGTCTTTTCTTCACCATACCAAGCCTGAGTTCCCCATGCTCCCACCATAGTGAAGTCTTTTCTTCACCATACCAAGCCTGAGTTCCCCATGCTCCCACCATCGTGAAGTATTTTCTTCACCATACCAAGCCTGAGTTCCCCATGCTGCCACCATAGTGAAGTCTTTTCTTCACCATACCAAGCCTGAGTTCCCCATGCTCCCACCATAGTGAAGTCTTTCCATCACCGTACCAAGCCTGAGTTCCCCATGCTCCCACCATCGTGAAGTCTTTTCTTCACCATATCAAGCCTGAGTTCCCCATGCTGCCACCATAGTTAAGTCTTTTCTTCACCATACCAAGCCTGAGTTCCCCATGCTCTCTTCATAGTGAAGTCTTTTCTTTATCATACCAAGCCTTAGTTCCCCATGCTGCCACCATAGTGAAGTCTTTTCTTCACCATACCAAGCCTGAGTTCCCCATGCTCCCACCCTAGTAAAGTGCATTTCTTATCCCCAAGGCCTCAGACTTCTACACATTGTAGTTTTTTTCAAACTTTTTTCAAACTTGCAAAAACCTGGGTTGCAAAACCTGAGTTGCACATTTAATATTGTGTGGATAGGCTGAATGTCAAGAAATAAATTATGAAATGACAAAAATTTGGGCCTGTGTTGGATCTTCACAGTATGACTATTGTTAGTGTATGTAAAGTATGGAAGTTAGTACAGCTATTATTACCACCTAGACTACATGAAAGGTGGCCAGAATGCCAACTGGCCCAAGCCAAGTCTGTTTGGAGCCCATAATTGGTCTAGGTCTAGGTCTAGATCTTGTTATGAGTGACCAGTGTCAAACTGAGACGTCATCTCTGTGCATTTAGGGGAATCATCAACTGCTAAATTGTTGAACATACTATAATCTGAGTTTACAGACAAAGTGGGTTTGGAATCAGACTTGCAAGGAATGACAACAGGATTG